TCCGACTGTATTCGTCTGAAAGAAAAAAAGTCATATACACCATAGGATGGCTTGAGGGTGAGTAAATCATGGGGCATTTTTTTATTTTTGGGTGAACTTTCCCTTTAAGAACAGTAATGCTCAACTAGCACTTAAATAGCTTATCATACACACCCACAAACATACAACATAAATGGATATATGCAGCTCATGACAAAAGACTGCAGAATTCAAAGCACCATTTGGGGGTTCTCATAATGTAGATATCTGTGATTCAAACCTTTGCCTTTATGATGGGGTTACTGGAAGAACCCTTAAAGGTGAACATAGGACTCTCCATAGACTCCCTACATCTGAGCCGCTGAGGACATGGTGGTTACTTTACATTTTCGAAGGAAATGTCCTGGAAAAAAAATGCTAAAGTCCTATATGTTTGTGCCAATCATTTTACGCCAGACTGCCTCACAAACGAGGGTCAATTCAGTGCTGGAGTTATGCAAAGGTTGCTTCTGAAAGAGGGATCAATTAACTAAAGCTAAAGCTACCATTGTCTCTGCCTGTTTTCACTGATGCTGCCTTCATGTGCTAGAATGATCATAAATAGGAATGTGGTAGTTAAAAAAATTGCATATGAAAGCAATGTGAAGTCGATCGCTTGAATTTGCATTTAAATGGACATACACAAAAACAGCACGTTTTGGCTCATACCCTAAAAGTGGCAATTTCAACAAGCTATAAAAAAATTATCTGTGGGGCATTTTGAGCTAAAACTTCACATACATACTTAATTTACATCTTGTAAAAAGAGGCATAATAGGGGCATAATTACCTTTATGTCTTTAGTTCCTCAGAGAAAGAGTGCCTAGATGTTCTCAAAAAGGTTTCTGAAGAACCCCAGTATTTCAGTTCAAACAACTTGTAAAAGTGCATGTAGCATTATATGACCCCTTTAAGTATCTTTTCATGTGTACATTGTTCATAGCTGCTGTTCAACACTGTGACAAACCTATTGACCAATCAGAAGCCTTAGAGGAAGCAGCATACACTCATTCAAAATGTATTAAAAAAAATGTAAATTCTTGCAATTTTGCATTATTTTCCCCAAACATGCAGTACATCAAGAGTTACATGAATATTTTTAAATCTCTAATCACAGTTTCATTTTACACGCTGTTAAACTGTTATTCTAACCTCTTTGAGATGCATGACCATACACACCACTGCATCAGAAAAGATTAGTTGGTCAGACTCACTGCAGATTCTAAACTATGCTTATCTCTCCCATTTCACAACAAAATGACCCTGTTTTTAATTCTACAATGGTTGTTGAACAGTTGAAAGTCAAATGGCTTTGTGTGCCATTGAGAAGGTGATTAGCTACACCTGACTGAGTTTACAAGTCATTTTTAGGAGGCGAGTGATCCTTTTTACAAATCAGTGATTCTGTTCTTTTTTTCTGACATGTTGGTGTTATATCTTGCACTTGGATGTTATAAGTTGCATTGAGTAAATATAACTGGATAAAACAAAAACTGTGTCCGTCTTCATTTCAGGCTGCAAAGCAACAAAATGTGATTATTTTAAAGGGGGTTGATTCTTTTCTATACCCGCTGTACTTTGGTAATGTTCTGCTACACACATGCCTATAAAAGACACCCTTTGGCCACAGAAAAAAATGGCACTTAAAATCACCCCACCCCTCGCTCCTCTAATATAGGTATTACTGCATGCACAATCGCTTTACCTGTAGCCCTGAATAAATTAGTTATTCATGTTTTCATATTATCATATTACTCCATATAGGCAAGTATTAGTATATACACTGAATACATGATCCTCCTGAACTTTCATTTGCAACTCTAGGATAAAACGTAAGTCCTAGAAACGATACAGATGAGATTTATACTGTTGTACATACAGTATAATGGAAGTCTATTCACTCCTTTAGATTATTTTGTACACTGTAAAAATGGTAACCATGCAATTGTTTCCTTAAAGAGCTATTTTTGTCTGAATTAAGTCATAATTTTTTTTTGTTGGTGTAAATTGATGTGTTGATGTATGTTGGTTCAGTGATGTTATTAATAATATTAATTTAGATGCTACCATTTTTAGGTTAATGTTTTTTCCCCCGCCCCTCAACATTAACGTGTCTATGAACCAAAAATACCATAGTAACAAGTGGACATGGTAACATGGCTAAACACAAAATAAAGAATAAAGTCTATGACTATAGGCTAAATGAGAATGAGAATTGTTACCAGTTTTCTCAAGAGTTTGTTTTAAGCACCTAAATCAACTAAATCTAAAATCATAAGAATAATGTTCAGACAGCTTTTAATATTAACAGTAATATTATATGTACAGAAATAATCCCCAGGGAGAGCTACCAAAGAACTGATGTGTCTGTCTCTCTCCCTGCCTTGAAAACAATTTCCAGTTGATTTCACTGCACTGACAGAGAGTGCTCACGCTAAACTTTCATTTAGTCTCATCTCTCAGACTCTTACTAGTCACCACTATCCACATCAGTTCCTTTCAGACTGTGAATGATCTTGCACTGTTTTGTGTTTTGGTCCCATTATTTATATATCTATTGCACATTCTATACCTCCATTCACTGAGAACTATTTATTATTTAAACTATTATTTTACAGTTTATTACTTTTCCCTTAAAATTAATAGTTTACTCAAAACTGAATACTTAAAACTTCTATGTCTCCCAGCTGGCCTGGGAACGCCTTGGGGTTCCCCCAGAGGAGCTGGAGGAGGTGTGCAGGGAGAGGGAAGTCTGGGGGGCTCTGCTCAAACTACTGCCCCCGCGACCCGGCCTCGGATAAGCGGAAGAAGATGAGATGAATACTCTCCTTCATGTAGACCAAACCTATCTGATTATTATTATTATTGTTATATATTTTTTTCTTTCTCTGGACCGCAAAAGCAGATGTTAGACAGAATGATAATCTCAGTTACCATTCACTTTCATTGTATGAAAAAAGATCCAGTGAAAGTGAATGGAGACTGAAGCTACCTGTCCCTATCATTCTACTAAACATTTTCTTTCGTGCTCAATGGAAGAAAGAAACTCATACTGATTTAGGGAAACATGAAGGTAGGTAAATAATGACAGATTTTTTTTTTTTTAAGTGAACTATCTCTTTAAACTATCGAGGAAACTTGTGGGAATGGGTGTTCTGTTCACATACAGTAGTGAATGGTGCGTTTGGATCACACTGTAAATAAAACTGCACTTGGGTTCTCACTACGCTCGCCTTCAGTGGACTGATTCGTTACAGTGAGTCATTTAAAGGATTGTGCATGCAGTAATACCTATATTAGAGGAGCGAGGGGTGGGGTGATTTTTAGTGCCATTTTTTTCTGTGGCCAAAGGGTATCTTTTATAGGCATGCGTGTAGCAGTACATTACCAAAGTACAGCGGGTATAGAAAAGAATCAACCCCCTTTAAAATAATCACATTTCACAATCACAAATCCCTAATTTATTGAGATGCACCTGTACTGTAAAATCAAGCAGAATCTTTTTGAAAAAATAAAATAAAATAAAAATTATATATTCCAGTTGATTTCACTGCACTGACAGAGAGTGCTCACGCTAAACTTTCATTTAGTCTCATCTCTCAGACTCTTACTAGTCACCACTATCCACATCAGTTCCTTTCAGACTGTGAATGATCTTGCACTGTTTTGTGTTTTGGTCCCATTATTTATATATCTATTGCACATTCTATACCTCCATTCACTGAGAACTATTTATTATTTAAACTATTATTTTACAGTTTATTACTTTTCCCTTAAAATTAATAGTTTACTCAAAACTGAATACTTAAAACTTCTATGTCTCCCAGCTGGCCTGGGAACGCCTTGGGGTTCCCCCAGAGGAGCTGGAGGAGGTGTGCAGGGAGAGGGAAGTCTGGGGGGCTCTGCTCAAACTACTGCCCCCGCGACCCGGCCTCGGATAAGCGGAAGAAGATGAGATGAATACTCTCCTTCATGTAGACCAAACCTATCTGATTATTATTATTATTGTTATATATTTTTTTCTTTCTCTGGACCGCAAAAGCAGATGTTAGACAGAATGATAATCTCAGTTACCATTCACTTTCATTGTATGAAAAAAGATCCAGTGAAAGTGAATGGAGACTGAAGCTACCTGTCCCTATCATTCTACTAAACATTTTCTTTCGTGCTCAATGGAAGAAAGAAACTCATACTGATTTAGGGAAACATGAAGGTAGGTAAATAATGACAGATTTTTTTTTTTTTAAGTGAACTATCTCTTTAAACTATCGAGGAAACTTGTGGGAATGGGTGTTCTGTTCACATACAGTAGTGAATGGTGCCCCCTATTGCTGAAATTAGCCTAGGCTACTGTTAACGTACGCTTAGGTATGTAAAAATAAATATGATACCAGAATGGTGACAACAAAACATCATTATAAACAACCTAGATGAGCAGTAACACAGTTGTACATTAAATTAAAATCGATTGTGCCAAATAACGCGTCCTGATTAAATATAGCAATAACCTCAGCTTCAAAACAAATGTAAACAGTGCAAAAAATATACAAAAAAAATAAAATAAAATACTTTGTGCTTAACTGTTTACCTTTTGGTGGTGATGTTTTCAATGTCCAGTAGTCCGGAGCTGAAAATCACACTGGACGTAGCCTAAGTAGTGCCCAGACTCAGAGCACAATTCAACGCTGTGTTCATCCCCGCGTGCGCTCTGTCGCTTAAAAGCGCATCATCACTCCGCCAGTGTCAATTCTCAGTTCTCTCTCCCTCTCTCGTGCCTGCTCATTGTTCACTGACACTCCGCAGAAGAGTGGAACCGACACTGCCAGCTTCGCTTTGCACGGAAAACATGTTGAAACTACAAATTATGACACGCATATGCCGGAGTTCGCGTTAAGAAGAAATGGAAATCATCTGTAAACAATAATTTAGTTGTTACACATTTAAGCAGTCCAAAGTCTCCTTATGTCTCTCCGTGGAGGAACAGGCGAACAAGGAGGTGTTCGTTTTTACCTGGGAACAGGTAGTAGGCTACTATAGAGAAACTGGGTGTAAAAAAAGGTAAGAAAGATTGTATTATTGTAATACTGTATGTTTGGCTACAAGAAGTACTCTGTGTTTTATTTGTTAATATATTTAAAAAGGGTTAATGGCACAATGTGCAATGTTGTGGCACAAATGACTGAGATACAGTACATAATATCAGTGGAGGTATGCATATTATTAATAGACTAGCTCTAGCCGCTGTTGGGCAATTTAGTATTTAAACATACTTTACTGAGAAATTTACATTTTTACATTCATTTTCTGGGAGATGTAATATGAGTTATGATTTTCTGATACAACCCTTTATATATATTTATTAGGTATATTTACATATACATATACAAGGTGTTTCAGTGAATTATTTTAATATTATTTTCATTTAATGTTATGATATATATATATATATATATATATATATATATATATACATATACATGTGTGTGTATGTATCTATGTACTATTTATTATACATATTAACATCTGTGAGATTTGATGTTGAGAATTATTTGTTAATAAAATCATATGTGACGATTTTATTAACAAATAAAAAAAGAAACTTCATTCACATGCCATATTAAAACAGTAAGCGACAGGCAGCATTGACCTATGAAGATTTGATCCGGTCTTTATCTCACAACTGGATCTCTGACTTAGTTAATTGTGTATCACAAATGAACTCATCTTCATAGCCACTAAAATGATTCAGATTACATTAAACCAGAGTCAAAGTCATCCATTGCAATGCATTTATTTGACATGTCTACGCTCTTATCATTTTTGAGTGATTACGAACGGCAAACATGATCGCACAGTGTAGATAACTGCAAGCCACTTTATGAAAAGTAGGCTAATGGTAGGGTGTTTTTTGTCATTAATCATTTGCATACAGTATGCACAGTTATAACTGCACATCTGGAAGTGGGTGAGATAAGTAGATAAACAGAATTGTTTAGTAGCAGCTGCAAGTGATAGAGGTTGAAAGCAAAAAAGGGAAAGACAATAAGAGAAAGACAAGGCTTGATATTGACTGAGGAGAACAGTAGGAATAAAGCCCATCTCTCAACTCTATTCTGTTATCCTCAGATCTAAAATGAATGAAACACTGGACCTGAACATTACCCTTGTGGATGATGGTAACTGGACTTTTGTCAATGGCTCCAATGAATTCTTCTTACCTCAGAACAATGTTACATACGTTGGATATTACCTGCATCAGCCATCTGTAGCAGCAGTCTTCATAATTTCCTACCTGCTCATATTCCTGGTCTGCATGGTTGGAAATGGAGTGGTGTGTTTAATTGTGTTACAGAGCAAAAACATGCGCACCGTCACCAACCTTTTCATCCTCAACCTCGCTATCAGTGACCTTCTTGTTGGGATTTTCTGCATGCCCACAACTCTTCTTGACAACATTATTACAGGTCAGTGCAATGCCAGGAACCATATGTAATTATTTACATCATCTTTAAAGTTACTTGTTCTAGCTAAGGTTTGTTTTTCACTGTTTCTTGCATGCTTGAATTTTCAACTGACATTTATATCTCTCCTTAGGGCTGTCGTGACTAGAGAAGGCATCTATAGTTGCCTGAAGTTTTTAAGTTAAAACTGAGTTCATGCTGTATTTGGCAGTAGAGGATGCTGTTCACCTTTAGAATGACAGTTTAAAGATAGGAGCAGTATGAAAATCTAAGCATGGCGAGTCAGTCCAGACTATAAAAATGTTTTGGTGCCACCAATTATGTGACTGGAAGTCACCAGTTTTCTGAAATATGCCCTATGCTCTTACATTTGACTCATATTTAATGATAGACACAAGACTGATACAAATCATGCATGGTGTTATAAACAAGAGATATACAGATTAACTAGGGTCTTAACATAGTCTGTTTATTCCGTACAGATTGTGGCATTGCTTTAATTCTATCGGCATGTAAATGTTGCAGACGTGTTTACGAGCTGTTCTGAAACAGCCTAAAGAAAGAGCTGGCACTGAGATAGCTAGTCTGAGTGGAAATCTAAAACAATATGGCATGGGATCTTGATTATGAGACTGCAGCTAGTTATGCAAGATATTTGTTTGTCCCTGCAAATGACTAATTTCTCTAGTGAGTATGAATGTAACCTTAACAAGTTAATTAGAAGCTATTTGATAATACCAAATTATAACTACTGTCACTATACTTTTTTGAATATTACTTTTATGTGCAGTATTTATGAGTTTGAGTGTATATTAATTTAGTTAAGGTCACAAAACACAAAATAAAACCACAAAATGAAAGGGCCCCAAAGGTCATATACTTGATGATACATGTAACAACACACCTGCTATCTATTCACTCACTGTCAAGAGTGTTGTCTACAAGAACTATAAACATTTATATGTCTAATATATATTTATGCCATTGTGCATCCAGCAATTTTATGATAAACTATTTGTACTTGATGGATCATTGCTGGAAGCAGACATTGACAAAATCATGCAAATCCTTTTTTTAATACTATTTTAATGTTACTTTCTGAACCAGATATTACAAGAGAAACAAAAAGGATTCAATGAAAGCACAGTCTTTCATTGGAACTCTCTGCTGAGTGGTATATGAAGTGCGTGTTTCCATAGACACAAAGTCATTGGCAAAATTAGAGTTCACTATACTTTAATGGCCTATAACAAGACAGATTAGAGTCACAACAATGGGTGCACTCAGTTGGGAGTAGTGTATATTGGTGGCTGCAATCAGTGACAGATTCCAGAACATACGCTTGCCAAAATGTACTGTATGTAGCAATTTACCTCAGTTTATATCAGAGCTGTCTTTACTTCCCGGTTGTAGTACAGTACATCCCATCAGCACCATGCTATTAGTAATTATAACTCATCTGGTCATTTGTGTTCATTTATATTGAAAAACTCGAGATGCAGCTGGACTTTCTTTTAAAATACTGTTAGGAAGATGATTGATCAATAGGATGGATGGCAGTATGTAAGAAACAAATAATTTAGCATCACAGCTTCTTAAAATCAGTTTGGGTTTCATTGCCAGTCTTTTTACACAAACCATTGCTTATTTGAGCCATGGTATAAATATGATTATTTTCAGTGACTGTGTGCTATTGCAACTCTCAGAAATAATTACTGGTTTTCTCTGTAACATCTCTGTGGTTATGGTTATTTACAGAGAGTGTCTTGTTGGTTGCTTTTAGGATGTTGAAAATAATGTCATAACTCAAGGCAGTGCATTTTAGACACCTATTTACTTTGTAATAGATGCCTCGTTAATTAATAAATAAATTAATTAATACATTTTTTACCCCCTGTTTGTTCTCACTTCCTGTCCCAAGTGTAGACTGATAGTAATTCAGTGTAAGGAACATTTCATGCACTTCACACAATCAGACACTGAATGCAATTTTATATGTGATTGTGACTATTTGTGTGAATAAGTTTTAGTGGTATGAAATTAAATATTTTCATTCTATTTAAAGTTCTGCATTCTTATTATGTTTATTTATTCAGACTAAAATGTAGTTAAAATTACACTTTGTTACAACCAAAGTGTGATTACTGTTCAGCAATTGAATTAACACTTATGTCATTTCAAAGACCTTATTCGAAATTAATTAAACCCCATTAAGACATTGTTTTTACAGTTAATGGGTGAAAACAGCATTATTTATTTATGTGTTTTTTTTTGTCTGTGAGAAAGCAGTCATTAAATAAGGTCAGTAAACAATATTCAAATAAGGTTGGTAAAATTTGTATATTAGTCATCCAAGGCCCTGAGGAAGCACAAGTGTGTCTTTTGTACCTCGGCTTCCTAAGGGTCCTTAGGGCTCCTAAGTTTTAATTTCTTGGTGTAATTTCTATTGGGAGAGGAGGTTTGGAGGGCATGTTAATTTTATTTATTAATTAATTAATTTTTTATTCACAGCCATGAACATGGTTTGCTACTTGATAATTGGTTGCAGGTGATCTCTATGAAATCTATGTAGTGCCGGATGAGCCATCAATATTTTTCTTAAATTTTCCAGATGATGAACATATTTTAAATGTGTCTATCTGCGAAAACTGAATTTTGTCTACTTATTAATTTTTTTTGTATTATTTATTTAACAGGGACAATACACTAGGCATTGGGGTTATGCATTTGTATAAGAAAAATATCCATATTTACAACTTTATAAACTGTAATCTCTAGCTTCCATTAACTGTCGTATGCGCATACATGAGAGAGTGGCGTCCAGCAGATAACGTAGGGTAATTTTCATTTTTGGGTGAAGTAGGCCTATATTCTTTCAAAGTATAGAATTTACATAATAAATACTCTTTGTAAAAGTATGATAAGAGGTTTGACCTCATGTAGATGACCTCAAAGCTAACAAACTAAAATTTTGAATTTATGAGCAGTTAAAAATGTCCATCTAATGTCTGTTCCCCTTCAGTCAGTCACTTTCGACGTTACATCGATGCTGACGTATGGGGTTTCCCTTGGGAGCCCCAATCACCTCTGGGTAGTAAAAAACAGGCCAATGAACATTGGCGAGTGGAATTTGCATGCCTAGCCACTCCCCCGTACACACGGGCATATAAGAGGGCAGCATGCATCCACTCATTCAGATTTTTGCTTTGGAGCCAAACAGTTGCTGCTGTATGTGCTACTCGTTTTCTCTAAACACCTGCGGGAAATGATCTTCGCTGGATACTTCTGTTTACGGCGCATTCAGCTGTGTTTCGCGGTAATAGCATGGTTAAGTGCTGGTTAAGGGCTAATTCCCCTCTGGGCGCTTTGGCATAAAAGAGCAGTTTCCCTAAAAGAGCTACACGGACGAGAGTGTCTCTTCGTCCATGCGTTTCTGGATGCAGTTGTTTCCTGACCCGCTCTAATGGCCATGATTGTTGTCTTACATGTCAGGGCCGTAAGCATGCTGAGACTTCATTCATGCATGGTTCATGCACTCATTGTGAGCGCATGTCCATGGCAATGTTGAAATCGCAACTCTCCCTCCTCATGAGGGGGGAAGTCCCCTCAGCTGCTCCCCGGCCTGGGACTTCTGGGAAGCAGAAGTCCTCGCAGGGAGATCTGAGGGTTACAGTGGGAGCTCTTCTGCCAGGCCAGTCCTCACGGACCTCCCACTCCTCCACGACGTTGCATGCCATCGAGCTCCTGAAGGAGATTGTCGAGACATCTCACAGCGGTCCTACAGTTTTGTTTGGGGCTCCGGAGGAGGATTAGATGTCGATCGCAGCAGGCGCTTCAGACTGAACTGTCTGCTATGCTTTCCCGGGCAGCCGAGAACATTGTGCTTGAGTGGAAGCCTCCACCCAACCCAGAGTGTTCTCGGCTGGACGATTGGTTCCTGGAGTGCGACTCACAGCTGCAACCCGCCTCAGTGCCATTTTTCCCGGAGGTGCATGTGGAGGTCACAAATTCGCTGAGGGCAACTTTCTTTGCCCGAAGCCGATTACGCTGCCTCCTCCTCCCTCAC